CCCAAACAAAAAAAAAAAAAAAAAAAAAAAAAAAAAGATATAGCCTCTGACCATGACCTTTCCAGCAGGCTTAACCTCTCTGCATTCTAGTCATCAGTGGTCATGACGTGCTCCTGGCAGAGGAAACTAATCTGATCATACTAAAGAGAATCTAGAACAAAGTTCTCCAACATGCAATCAACTCCATGCTACTTCTATACAGCTTCCACAAAATCTACTTCTTTTTTTTTTTGAGTTGGAGTCTCACTCTGTCGCCCAGGCTGGAGTGCAGTGGCACGCTTACGGCCACCTCAGCCTCGACCTGCTGAGCTCAGGTGATCCTTCCACCACCTCAGCCTTCCAAGTAGCTGGAACTGTAGGTGTGTGCCACCATGCCCGGCTCATTTTTTGATTTTTTGTAGAGATGAGGTCTTGCCAAGTTGCCCAGGCTGGACTTGAAACTCTGAGCTCAGGCAATTCTCTTACCTCAGCCTCCCAAAGTGTTGGGATTACAGGTGTGAGCCACTGCGCATAGCCATAATCTACTTCTAGATAAGTTTAAGCCCTCTGGTAAAAAAGTAGTCAAACAAGTGATTTAAATATGCAAGAGAAAAGCAGTGCCATATAAACTGAAATGAGAATTCCTCACTGGAAAGCTTCATTTGGGAGATATTTTTTATACAACTGAAAAAGAATTTATACTTACCATTGTTTTCAAGTCGAAGATGAAACCTGTTAGCCACGGGAGCTATTGTGTATGATGTTACTGGACTATAGCCATTGTCCAAAGCCCACTTCACCAGATTCCCTTGGGTTGAAGGAATGTCATCTCTTACTGATTTGGTCATTGTCATAGATCTTTCACTCTCTTTCCCGAAGCCAATACTGTTAGGAGCCTGAAGATAACAGTAACATTTCACATGAGTCTAAAATTAAACGTGCTTTAAATAATAATTATTAACATCTGAAACAAGCATTCTATACTCTGTATGAGGGAATTATTTATTCTTTTGATCTCTATTTTCCTTGGGCTATGGACACTGATGTGAAAACCTCTGGATGGCAGATGAAGACACATCTATGCATACATTTGATCACGCCCTTTGGATTGCTTATGTTGATAAAAATGAGCCAGTGAAAATGAAAGATGGCACAATCTAGTGACAGTCATGCGTCACTTAACAATGGGATATGGGTTATGTTCTGAGAACTGTATCCTTAGGTGATTTCATCATTGTGGGAACATCATGGCATCTACTTACACAAACCTGGGTAGTATAGCCCCCTATGCACCTAGGCTATATGGTATATGGTATAGCCTATTGACACTAGGCTACAAACCTGTATAGGATGTTACTGCATGAGATAACATAGGTGGGCAACCCCCTTGGGTCCCCTCCCATAGTGGGAGCTTTTCTGTGTTCTCAATAAATCCTGCTTTCTCAAAATAAATAAATAAATAAATAAGGAATAACATAGGCAATTATAACACAATGGTCAGCCAAACATATCAACACACAGAGAAGGTACAGTAAAAATACAGTATGACAATCTTATGAAACTACCATAGTGTGTGAAGTCTGTCGATGACCAAAATGTCATTATGAGGCTCATGACTATACTCCAGCATGGAGGCTCTCCCAGCTTTGTAAACAATTGAATGTACAAAGTAAACTGGAAATCTCACATGGCAAAACAACCAATGATTAGATAGTCATCTATAACTTATGAGCAATTTACCCATCCTGTCAGGGTATTCATGTGCCAATTCTATTAACTGAATCTGTTTACATTTTATGTGCTAAAATATCAGTTAATTTAGGTGACTGGCCCTCTAAGTATTGGTATTTTCCCCAATCATACAAGTAGGTCATAGGATTCACTGGATAATCAGTTACAAGATCAAACTGGTCAAAATATTTTGGGGAAATGATAGAAATGGATTCTTGGTAACCAGGACACGGAAGGTAAATTTCCTCATCACGTGCTGGCTCGTGTAGAGGTACTCTTTTCAGAGGGTGAGGGAGCTGAATGCCGCCCCCACAAAGGGAAGACACAACATTTTCAACAACTGCTCCGGCACAGCTGGAAAGCCCTGCCAGCATGCAGATTATGCCATTTTCATGCTGTATAAAAATCACTTTAATTTCCATGCCCAATGATTTTCTCCTGGATACATGCAGCATTTTTCCTAAATTCCTCATTTGTTTCCCATTCTGTCTGCCCCTAAAATGACTAAACACTAATCCTTTCCCACTGTAAAACCATAAAAGATTCACAGGCTCTAAGTTATCTTGGCCTGTCTGGTTGTGGGATATTGGCAGAGGCCACATATATTTCAATTCAAAGCTTAAAGGATCTCACCCTGTATATTTTTCTATTACCCAAAGTGCTTATCTATGGGAAAACTGCCAGACTCACCGGTAGCCGCCACCACATGCAGGGCAACCAGACAGAAATTTAACCAAGTTCGACAGTCATTTGTCAACTCAGCTTAATAGATTCAGAATATTTTAACTCTTCAATTCAGAGAAAACTCCTTAGGGGGGGAGGAAGGAAGGAAGGAAGGAAGGAAGGAAGGAAGGAAGGAAGGAAGGAAGGAAGGAAGGAAGGAAGGAAACTAAAATGAGATAAAGAAAGATCCAATTTATTCTTAGAAATTTTTATTCATTTAGTCAACAGAAGTTTCTCTGCACAGCTTCTCCCTGTCTTTCAAAGCAGCATGTAGTTTTGATTGGCTGGAATCACAGCACTGGCCTCAACAATACCACTTGGCCTCGTGTGCCCTAGTCTTTCATGTTGCTGGACAGCTGAGAAAATATCATATTTCCAGAATGCTATCATCAGAACTGCCATCTGTCCTTTTATACCAATGTGGAATGATCTGTTTACACCTTTCGACACGAAATCTGGGAGCTGTCAGTACCGCTCATATTGATCATGCCTTGGAACTTTAAAAGGCTCGACATCTGTCTACACATTTGTAGGACAGCAGGGCTTGGGACAATGGCAGGCAAGTTGGTTCCCAGCACTGAGCACATTCTTCACCCTGTATGCCTGGGAGTCCCCAGGGCTTCTTCCAACTTTACTGGGGCTACCCTAAATAGGGATGCTCATGGGAGTCTTCCATATTTGCATCAGAACCGATGAGATTTTGAAAGCTTTTTCCTAAGAACAAGCTGGCCATCCTCAACCTTGAAGTCCTGCACCCACACAGAACAGTGTGAGAGGAGGCCTTTCATGAGTTTCCCCCATCTATTTTTCTATGTTTTGGGTGTTTCCTACTGTCAAAGTGATTGTGCATGGTCCACAGTGGACCCAAGGAAAAAGCCAGAGCTGGGCCCAGTGGTGTGGGCACTTCTGAAGGGCCCGTTCTGGCCACAGCACCGTCCTTGGCATCTCTTCAGATGGTTCTGTCATCTGGAGGGCACATTCTGCTCACGCCCCACCAGCAATGCACATGCCCAAGCTGCCATGTTTAATGGCACATACCCCACCAAGTTCCTCATCATACCTTCAGTAGGAATTCATTTTTATTTGTTTTTATCTTGTCTAGAGAAGTGCCCTAATTGTTCCTATAGACACTCTTAAAGAGTCACTCACAGATGGAAGAGGAGCCCTTGTTTATATCAGGTGCTGTACTAGGAGCTTTACACACATGGTTTTCCTCCAAAATATAAGGAGATAGGCATTACTATTCCTTTGTCAGAGAAGGAGAACCTGAGACTCACAGTTAAGTAGCCCATGTAGCCAAGAACTGACCACATGCAGGCCTGTGCCCAGTGTTTTAGATGAAATACCCTGTAGGCCCTTAACAAATACTTGTCGAATGAATGAATGCACAAACTCAGCTAACCTTCACCATAACTCTTAAGGTGATCCTCATACCCATTTCACAGGTGCAGACTCAGTGTTCAATTCGATTGCCCAATCACTATTAGAGGTAATGACGATTGGAGTTGGGATTTAAACCTAGCTCTGTCCGGCACAAAGTCAATATTCTTTTCACTCCACCATGCTTTCTCTAAAGGAAATACTGGAGATAAGGTCTCTGTAAATCATTCCCCCCACACTTTTTTTTTTAGGTTGGAACATATAGTTTATTTAGAAAGTAAAGGAAGCCGGGCTTGGTGGCTCAGCCTGTAATCCCGCACCTTTGGGAGGCTGAGGTGAGTGGATTGCCTGAGCCCACGGGTTCGAGACCTGCCTGGGCAACTTGGCGAGACCTCATCTCTACAATAAATAAAAAATGAGCTGGCCGTGGTAGTGCGTGCCTGTAGTTCCGGCTACTCGGAAGGCTGAGGCGGAAGGATCACCTGGAGCCCAGCAGGTCGAGGCTGCGGTGGCCAGGGGTGGCCACTGCACTCCCGTCTGGGTGACAGAGTGAGACTCCAACTCAAAAAAAAAAAAAAAGAAAGTAAAGGAGAAAGAGGGAAGAGAGAGGAGATTTACCTCCCCAAGGTAGGGGAGAGGGCCAAAGCTAGGAAACACGGTGGCCATAGCTCAAAGAGCCATGTGGCCAGACCATAGCTTAGCAAAACAATGGCCCATGTTTCCCTTTCTAAGCACTAATTTATACTTTTGTAGTGGCAGGTACCTTTCCCTCACAGCACAGTCAGAATTCATATCTGAAACGAGGAATTTGGAAATCACAAAGCATAAAACTGATTGGGAGAATAAAAAAGAACATCGCAAAACATTACCTAATTGTTTAGTAATGTTGCCATGCATTGTCCAAAATTGGCCTGGAGCAGGAGTCTAGCCAAGGATAGGAATATAAACAGATCTTGCACTGGGATGAGCAATCTCGCTTCTAGCCTTTCTGATTCATATGAGAGATGAGGACATTCAAAGTGAACTCTGGGACTGCCACGGACCAGGCACACATACTCAGGGAGAGAAAGAGCCATTGAACGGTCAGGGCCAAAGAATATTTACACAAGAACTCCAGCAGGGAATTAAAACGTACCGTATGTTTTTGTCTTTCAAAGCATGATTCCTTTTCCTGTTTTTGTTATTCCGAAGTTAAAAACATTTGGTCGGTGTGCCAGGCAGCAAAGGCAGCAGCCAGCCCAGGTCACCAACAGCCCTCATGCCATGGCAGGGAAGGTAAACAAAACGTCTCTGACTTCAGAAGATCACGGCTGGGCTTTGGGCTGAACACCAAATTCATGTATCACTGTTACCCATGATGACTTACTGGGATGTTCTCAAAGTTAAAAAAAAAAAAAAAAACCCACAGGAACCAGAAACGATTTACTTGAAAATTAAAATGTGTGTGCTGGGGGCTTTGCCTGTAGCCTCTGGTGAGTGCTTTTACATGACGTTGCCTAGGAAACTGTTGGCTTTGTTCACTGTGGTATCACATGGAAGATGCCCTGGATGGAAGAATAATACTAAAACCAAAGGCATCCCTCTCCCAAAATATTGAAAACATAAAACCCACTCCAGCAGATTCAATGCAGATACTAAAAGAGACATAGGCCAATTTTTAAAAAAGACATTGCATAAAAATTGGAGCCTACAAAAGTGAAGTTAAAGAGATAATTATCTCCTTAAAAATAGGAAGGAGGATTTTTTTTTAAACTTTCAATAGAATTCACTCCAATAAGTTGCCAAATAGTTATTCCCTAAATGTATTTAAGATAAGATTTATTTTATCAAATTTCAACATTCAACTTTATTTATTTGTGTATTTTTTGAGTCTTGGTTCACTGCAGCCTCAACCTCCTGGGCTCAGGTGATCCTCCTGCCTCCGCCTCCTGAGTATCTGGGATCACAGGCACACATCACCATGCCTGGCTAACTTTCTTATTTTTTGTAGAGATGGGGTCTTGCTATGTTGCCTGGACTGGCCTTGAACTCCTGGGCTCAAGCAATCCTCCCACCTCAGCCTCCCAAAGTGCTGGGATTACAGGTGTGAGCCACCACGCCCAGTTCTCCACATTCAACTTCTGAGGTGTTTGAGCATTTGCTCTTCATGCCAATGGGCTAAGCCTTGTAAGTGCATTTCCTTCATTAAATAGAAGGCTGGAGGAACAGGCTGGAGTAGACTTTCCCATCATCTCAGCAGCGGGGCAGTTATCGTGATTCTCCTATCAGGGTTTCATCTTTAGAAATTAGAAGCAAGCAAAAAGACATGCCAATACCACGTGTTTAACTCCAAAAGAAAAGTCTACCATGTAAGCTGGGATCAGCCCAATTTCCCATACTTTCCCCAAGTATTTAACCCCAAAGCAAGAGCTGATATTCAGGACCATGACACTAAGGTCCTTCTAGGATCCTCAACAAGAAAGGCTGAATTGTGTTCATTATTTTACACTTACCATATGACTGGAAAACACCCTAATACACTTCAGGAATTTCACAAATGAGGCCGAGGTTCAAAGAGACTTGCTCAAGGTCATCAAGGGGAAAGCCTGGGTTCAGACCCAGGTCTGTTTTGAACCCGGAGGCCATGTTTTAACCACTACACCTATTTTATAGGAGGACGCTATTTTGCTAGGTGAAAAATAATTGAGAGAGATTCAAGAGTACAAGGAGGCAGAAACTCCATAAAATAACATACATAAGCACAGCAGAAATTATGCCATCCATCAAAACAAAGAAATGCCTGATCAACTTACAATAACTTTCAGTTTTCCCTTAACATCAAACGATTTGATCACCCAGTTCACAGACTTTTTGCACTTCAAGATCAGGATGAGATTTTTGACCACCTCAGAATCTTCTCGAGAAGGTCTTATGTCAATTATTATGTCCACCTGGAAAGCACTGTGGGTGGAAAACAAAGGCAAAGTTAGGACCCAAGTGCCAGAAGGCTGCAACTATCTCCCCAATTCCAAGTCTTCATGTTTCCAGTGTCTGGCCAGTTGATTAAAAATCTGGAGTTGATCCCAGCCCAATGACATGTGCAAAACAGATTGTTATTGTACACATAACAAAATAGTTTTACATAACAATAGAAACATACGCCTGCTGATAATTAGCCGCTAAAGTTTTTCTCTTCTTTGGGGGGGAGGAAAGGTGGTTACTTAATGCAGCCACTGTTTGAAATGGACTTGAACAAACCAGAAGAGTTTACTTTTGAAGCAGTATTGTTGCTTTTTCAACTCTCAACACCTTCGATGTACAGCTGTCTAACTTGGCTATAAGCTCGAATTCTTCCAAAACCAGAAGTGGGTGGCAGCTCGGTGAGTTGTGGGGGGAGGGGTAAAAAAAAAAAAATTAGGAAACTACAGAATAAAATAAAAGGCAAAATGCTGAAGAATTTCTTGATTTCTTTAAGGTTTGCGTAAGCCATTAACAATTGCTACAGAATCATATCTGCATTTACTATCCAAAACTTCTGGATATACAGTTATTAAAATAGAGAAAACAGATGGTCAACCAGGAGATTACTGGAAAATTGATTAACACAATTCAAACTTCTAAGAATTCTTATAAAAGAGAATTTGGTACTAAACAATAACAGCTCCGTCATTCTGAATTTAAGGAAAAAGTCTTTATTTTCCTCTTGGCTTTACACACTTGTAAAGCCTACCGCATATGGAATACTCAGATGAGGCCTTGGGCTTAGTATCTAAGCACACTTGCCAGTTTGCTTCTATTCCTGTTCCCTCTTAATTTTCCACAAAATTCTTCATGTGGACAGAATGGAATCTTACCAAAACTGATCTGTAGCTTATTCACTTTTAAAATCAAAACTACATTAGAATTTTAACTTTGAAATCCCTCTACCACATAAATTTAAATGTTTAAGTCTCTGTGAACGTGAATGTTTAAATGCAGGTGAACGTGGGAGAAGGACCCAATTTTCCTCGTTTTTCTTTCTTTTTAAACATTCCCTCATTAATCTTGATAGAGAGGGTTAAATTTCCAGTCCAAAGTAGGAAGCTGAGAGGGAAGACAAGCACTTGTTCTATCTACCAGCTTTTTGGTATGTACTATGAAGGGCCACTCCTCAAAATACACACACACACACACACACACAAGTGCTCTGCTTTGTTTTTGTGTTTTAGTAGGAATCTCACTCTGTCACTCAGGCTGGAGGGCCATAGCACGCTCACAGCTACTGCAGCCTCTGCCCGCTGAGCTCAGGCGATCCTTCCGCCTCAGCCTTCCAAGTAGCTGGGACTACAGGCATATGCCACCACAACCGGCTAATTTTTTTTTTTTTTCATTGTAAAGATGTGGTCTTGCCAAGTTTCCCAGGCTGGTCTCGAAGCTTTGGGCTCAGGCAGTCCTCTCACCTCTGCCTCCCAAAGTGCTGGGATGATAGGTGTGAGCTACCATACCCAGCATATAAGTGCTCTGGAGACACTATGAACACAACTTTATTAAAATCAATGCTACTAAAATAGTAATTCTGTTAGTAAGGCACATTTTGCAATTTTCTTATCGGGGATAACCTTAGTTTAGGCAATAATGATGGGCCCTGCCATGAATACCCAGAAGTTCAGAACAGGCTTTGGGAATTCATCTGGAATATACGGGATCTGGAGACAGATGCAGAGCACAAAATATACCGCTGGGGCTTTGACTCCCTTCCTCAAAGCTTTTGTGGACCACACCTGAGGCATCACATGATCTTCCCTCCTGCGAGAGGGCGGCACCTCTCCCTGCCTAGAGTCAAGGAAGATCTTTCCTTTCACCTCTTCTTAGTTCACAAGATACACACGCACGTTTGCTCACCTGTAGGGGTTAGAGTTGGGGGTGATTAACTCGATGATGTGTACTTCCTTATCCTGGGGCTGGCTGGACATCACACACCCTTCTGCGGGTTTGGGCTGCAGGTACTCGGCAAGGTAATTGAGCGAGAGGAAATTTTTCCCGATGTTGCATGTGGGAGGGAACACTTGATCTGCAAGGAAGGAGGCACCAGGCACTGTGACAAAGCACTGAGGCACATGGCAGGAGTGGAGGGGGCAGATTCAGAAGGAGGGCGATGGGGGAGCTAAGCATGTGCAGGACACAGAGAACCCAAAGCCCCAAGGAGAGGCTTCAGGCTGTGGACTCCTCAACCACTGCCCTGAAATATCTCCCCTTAGCATCACCTGTGATCTCCAACTGGCTAACTCCAGTGGTCTCTTGTTGTCTAAATCTTCTCCTTTCTTGTTCTCTGTGACACTTCCGGTCCTCATCCATTTCCTCTGACCGATCTTTCACTGGCTCCTCCTTTGCTCAGGACCCCATTAATCTCTTTGGACCCCATCCCAGAAGATCTGATTCAGAACACAGGCAGGACCTGGGCAGCTTTCTTTTCTGAAAAGCTCCGTAGTTGACCCCCCTAAAAACCGAGACTAAGACCCTCGGCTCCTTCCTCAAGCCTCCTTCTGTCTCACTCTTTTCCTAGACAATCTCAGTCACTCCCACGGCTCCAACTTGTACCCTTTTTCTGAGCTGTAGACTTTTACTGTTATGCATCTACCAAGCATCTCCCGCCTAACAATCCAACAGGTAGGTATTTCATGGTCAGCACCCACAACGTTCAATCCGTTATCCATCCTGTCCTCAAATACACTCCTCCTTGGATATCTGCCATTTCAATAACAGAAGAACCAGTCACCTGATTAATTCTCTGGCCCACCATGTAGAATGAGTCATTCCCTCATATTTATTCCTCTCAGCACTTTATACTCTGAAGATTAAAGGTAGACATTTTGGGGGAAACAAAGAAGGCAGACTTTTACTCTTTCTCGCGATCTCAACACAGACAACTAATGTTTCTATGGCACTTTACAGTTTATAAGGCACTTTCATAAATGAGATATCATTGTGCTGATGGTCGCTCGCCACCTCCACCTGGGAATGTGAAGCAAGCAGAGTCTGAAGACACTCCCCACTGGCGCATGCCGTTTACACAGCACTGCGGCTAATGGGATTTCCATCCTGTGGTTTAAATGTTTAAACAGAACTTGAAAGAAACTGCTGGCAGTGTGACAGCTGGGACCAGTGTCAAGGAAGTTCTAGGTGTAGCAAGCTTTTTTCAGAAAGAGTAATTAATCAGCGGCCTGGCACTGTAATAAAACAGACTTCAGCCTTTTTCTTTTCCATTTTTTTTTTTTTTTGTACTGGGGTCTTACTCTGTCACCCATGCTGGAATGCAGTGGCCTGATCATGGCCCACTGCAGCCTCCACCTCCCAGGCTCAGGCTATCCTTCTGCCTCAGCCTCCCAAGTAGCAGGTACTATAGGCACGTGCCACCACATCCAGCTGATTTTTTTATTTTTTATTTTTTTTGTAGGGACAAGGTCTCCCCATGATGCCCAGGCTGGTCTCGAACTCCTGGGCTCAAGTGATCTTCCTACCTTAGCCTCCCAAAGTACTGGGATTACAGGCATGAGCCATGGCGCCCAATCTGCCTTTTTCATTTTAAGAACAGAACGCCAGGGTTCAAATCTACATGAAAGTCTCACTCAGGAGTAAGGAATCAAGAGGTTTCAAGATTGGATTGCTTCTGTCCCTATGCCCTGTGCAACCTCTCTTGTGTTGAAGTCTGCAGCACGCACTGAGGTATCATAGCTCTGGCCACTAGTGTACCCCCAGAACGTGGGACCAGAGCAACTCACAAGCCCCTGCTGTGGGCTCACTGCAAAAACACCTTGGCTCCGCACTCTGAAGTCTTTTCTAAAAGCCCCCCAGAGAGAAAAAGCCCAAGGCTCCACTGACTCAGGCTGCTGGAGCAGCCTCCCTCCGCATCTGCTGAGGACTTGGCCAGATGAGTAGATGAGGTATGCACACAGTGCAGCTGTAGCCCTGCGGATGCCTCCCCCAGATCACGGGACGGAAATCGATACCGGGAGGGCAGGGCTGAAATGCAATTAAGAAGGTGTGTGTATGGTCAGGGATAGACCAGTCTGGAGTGCAAGAGACTAGGACCCTCCTGGGATGGTGGCAGGCATACCCCGTTCCTAGGTGTTCCTGGCTTGTATCTAGCATGCAGTAGGCACGTGGTTTAGGTTTCCTGAATGAACAATGATGTGAGACTGGGGACAAATAACAAAATATTTAGCCATGTTAAGCCACTAGGAAAGGTTTAATTGTGCAAATGCTGCTGTTATTAAGGGCTGCGGTCCCACATGCCATTGTTGCTAAGTTGAATAAGCTGATCAGTTTTTGTTGTATGCGGTTTCTGTCCCCACCGCCCCCAATGACTTTCTGCATGCCTGGCATCAAAACTTATACCAAGTGCCAAGTAGAAAGGAAACCACAGAGGGGAATCCCCGTTAGAAACCTGGCAAGTTTGGGGGAGAAAAAGTCACATGCTTATTTTATTTTAGGAAAAGACTGACAGATGACTTTGCCACCCAGAAGAATGTACCCCGAGAGCAGGAACGAACCTGGGGGGGGAAATGCAAATGCCTCATTTTCCTGCTATAGAAACTGAGGCCCTAGTGGTAATCAGTGTTACTTAAAGCTTCACAGTGAGCAAGACCAGTTGGGATAAGAACAAAACTCCTCAATTCTTCCATTCTTAGGCATGGAGACTAGAGCGGTTCTTACATGTTAGCAAGAATGAGAACCACCTGGGGGCTCATTAAAACACCAACCGCTGGATGCTACCTCCAGAATTTCTGATTCCGTTGTCCTAGGTTAGGCCCTAGAATTCATATTTCTTTCTTTTTCTTTTTGAATAAGAGTCTCTCTCTGTTGCCCAGGCTGAAGTGTAGTGGCATGCTCACGGCCACCGCAGCTTCAACCTGCTGGGCTCAGGCGATCCTTCTGCCTCAGCCTTCCAAGTAGCTGGAACTACAGGTGTGTACCACCACTCCCAGATGAGTTTTAAATTTATTGTAGAGACGAGGTCTCGCCATGTTGCCCAGGCTGGTCTCAAATCTGTGAACTCAGGCGATCCTCTCACCTCCGCCTCCCAAAGTGCTGGGATTACAGGCTTGAGCCACCTCGCCCGGCTTTGAATTCGTATTTCTAACAAGTCCCCAGGCAATGCTGCTGCTGCTGCAGCTGCTGCTGGGGCCGGGACCACTGGGGTTAGATTAAGAGGGGGCTCATGGCCTGGGATCCCTGGGTCCAAGGAAGATGAAGCCAGATCAGCTTCTGGGAAGGGACTGATGAGGCCTGCGCAGCAGAATCTGATCTACAGTGATAAACAACAGCGCCCCGTGGTCCACCGACCTAGCCAAGGAACCCTACCTTCCCCAAGTGATGCTCTCCAAGGTGTGGTCCAGTGGCTTACACCCAGCTGGTGGCAGGAGTCGAGTATCAGGGGCTTCCAAGTTGCTCTTAAGGAGTTAACCAGTTTTTCCTGGACCGGACACTGGGTCCTTTAAGTTCGCTTCCCTACCCAGTATGGATTAACCAGTAAAGCACTCTCAGGGCAGGTGACTTCCGGGCACAGAAAGGAGCTCATGCCCATTCAAGAGAACAGAGTCCAACATCCTAGGTGTTATTATAACAAATTTCCTTATTCTAGCAAATTCCAAGGGTAATCAACATTCTTTCATGTTCTGCTTCGGAGATGCAGCCCGCTGGCCAGGGCTTAGAAGCTTTATGAAAAGAGATTTTTCATTTTTGTCTCAATGGGAGTTGACCTCTCTTATTAGCTACCTGACTCCCAGGAGAGAATAGTAACAAACTTAGATTCTTCCAGCCCGACTCTCCTCTAAAACCCCTCCCCCTTCCACCTCAACGAAACACGTCTTTTCACCCATGGGGCCCACTTTAATTTTTAGGTTATGCTTTTTGGCTAAGACTTAAATGACAGCATCAGGAAACGAGCCTTAGATGGAAGAGTCAGGAAACCTGGGTTTGTGTTCTGGCTTTGCCGCTTGCTAGAAATGTGGATTTGAGCAGGTTCACTGAGCACACCACTAAGCCCTCAGTGAAATGGTGGAAATGACGACTTCCTCCTGGGATTACTGTGGGGTTAAGTGCAGAGTGCGGGAAAGCCCATGACACGACCTCTGCATGTAGCAAACTCGCAGGCATCAGCGTCCACCTTTCCCGCCTCTGTCTCACACACAGAGATCTGGGCTTCAAAACAGCCCAGATCCAAACAAGAGTTGGGATCGAGCATTCAACAAGCCCCTCTTCCTTCTTGCTGTCTGCGGAGGAGGTGATAGCAGCCAACAGGTTTGCAGAAAGCATGGCTGCTGAAGATCTGAAATGCAGTGTTCACACATCACCTGACTAACACGAGGACCCATTCACAAGAGTTGTTTTTTCCTAACTCACAGGGGTTCCAAATACACTCAACTAAAAATAATGTCGAAAAAGCTTTTGTATTTTTTTAATAGTCTTTCAAAATTGAGTCACTGGATATTTATATCTCTCTGCAATGCAAGGAAATTAAAATGGGCAGGCCCTTTTTTTTGAGTCAGAGTCTCACTCTGTCACCCAGTTTGGAGTGCAGTGTCACACTCAAGGCCACTACAGTCTTGACCTGCTGGGCTCAGGCGATCCTTCCGCCTTAGCCTCCCAAGTAGCTGGAGCCACAGGCGTGCGCCACCACATCTGACTAACTTTTGATTTATTGTAGAGGCGAGGTCTCGCCAAGTTGCCTAGGCTGGTCTGAAACCCATGGGCTCAGGCAATCCTCTTGCCTCCGCCTCCCAAAGTGCTGGAATTATAGGTGTGAGCCACCGAAAATGGGCAATCTCTTATCAAGGCCATACAATTCCTTTTGGCAATAATTTGTCCTTATAACAGGCATTAATATTAAGAGTATATTTAAGGGTCAGGTGTGGTGGCTCATGCTGTGATCCCAGCACTTTGGGAGGCTGAGGCAGGAGGATTGCTTGAGCCCCAAACTCTACTGTTGTCCAAAAATGTAACCAATGTCTCAACACCATAAACTGACATTGGCTTCCAACATCTGCAGAATCCCAGGTGAGAGGAAATCTCACTTGCTGACCTGTCTTTCAACTCCTCCTTCCTCCCCTCAGTTACTACCTCCCTCCTTACAACCTTGGCCTCTCGCCTCCACTCACTTCTGACTTCTGTGTGGGGATGTCTTCTAGCTCCTCCACAGCAAGCTCCTCCCCTCTTAGCCATGCCACTCCCTATTTCTCACTTGGCTTGCTTCCTCAGAAGGAAAAAAGGCAGGCGGTTTGTGGGGCAGAGCAGGCCCAAATGTGCCCTCAGGAACTAGTCAGCCCCAACATTCTGCAATTCTGTGAAGCCCTGACATTCTGCAATTCTGTGACTCCTTGCCCTGGTCACTTGGCCTCAGAAAACAATAGACTGTCATAAATCAGTCATTCACGGAAGCCACATAAAATTTACCTTCCCCCACTTTAATATAAATGTTTCTTGCTATCTTGAGTTCGGTGAATGAAGTAATTGCTCCATACTCCTTTCGGGCCCAATTTAACAGATGTTCATTTCCATGGGGGAAGTTCCTTTCTTCTGTTTCTGCTGTCAAGGAGAAGTTTCCCGACGAAAACTGGACCACAGAACCCTCAGACACCTAGAGGAAAAAGAATTGCATACTTAGCATGGTGTGGTCACCCGGAACTGAATCATATTTAGAGAAAGCACATCTCAGACAGTGAATAGGTATCTGTCAATCAAACCTTTCCCTTATTACAAAGGTAGATCAGTTTTTTGTTGTTTTTTTTTGAGTTGGAGTCTCACTTTTATCACCCAGGCTGGAGTGAAGTGGCATGCTCATGGCCACCGCAGCCTCGACCTGCTGGGCTCAGGCGATCCTTCTGCCTCAGCCTTCCAAGTAGCTAGAACCACAGACACACACCACCATGCCTGGCTGGTTTTTTGTGATTTATTGTAGAGATGAGGTCTCACCAAGTTGCCCAGGCTGGTCTTGAACCCGTAGGCTCAGGCAATCCTCTTGCCTCAGTCTCCCAAAGTGCTGGGATTACAGACTAAGCCACTGTACCCAGCTCAGATCAGCTTTTCTCAGCAGCTGATTCCAGAAATAATTCCAAGCCTAGTCTTCCCAGATAATGGCAAACGTACCAATGCAGGGTGTTCCCCTGGACTTGGAAAAAACTCTGCAATGATAGACTGCATTGTGCAGTGTGAGTAAGCATAAGAATGATCACTGCTGTTTCCCAGTATCTAATGGAAGGCTAGCCTTCCAGTGAGTAGGTTTTAAGTCAGGTGGAAAGCCTCAGCAGGTGTTCTCATGGGCTTGTGACGGGCATCGAGGTCAGGACAAGTGATCCCTAAATCCTGATAGCACCTGAACATGACCTCCAGGGCTTTCACAGCCTCAGCTTCTACCAACAGTCACCATGACAGGAACACAGCGAGAGTTCTTTCAGTGTGTGTTCTCCTGAGCACTGAGATAAGAATGGTCAAAGAGCTGGGCCTGGAATCTCAGCACTTTGGAGGTGGAGGTGAGAGGATTGCCTGAGCCCAGGGGTTTGAGACCAGACTGGGCAATGTGGTGAGACTTTGTCTCTACAGTAAATCAAAAAATTAGCCGAGTACGGTGGTGCGTGCCTGTAGTTCCAGTTACTTGGAAGGCGGAGGTGGAAGGATCGCCTGAGCCCAGCAGGTTGAGACTGTGGTGGCAGTGAGTGTGCCACTGCCCTCCAGCCTGGGCAACAGAGTGAGACTCTGACTCAAAAAAAAAAAAAAAAAAAGAAAAGAAAAAGAATGGCCAAAGGTTACCAGCATTATTCAAGTGGCTATTCAACTGGTTATAAAAAAACTTTCAGGTTGATTTATGCAAGTGCCACATTCTTGCTGGATGTATTTAGACTATCACTCACCTAGCATATGATGGTGTGCATATAATTAACACATACGAAGGAGAAAACTCATCATCTTGTTGCTACACTACAGTCAAATTTCATTGCTGGTGAAACTATGCATGCCATCTTTATTGGCTAGAATTTGTCAAATAACTGATTTGTATCAATGTCAAGGTGAAATTTCAAATTTGGACAAAAAGGTTCACAAATTTCCAAGTCACAACACTATCAATGTCTTATATTAAATTTCACATTAATTCTTTATTCGTAACAAAAAGCAAGTGGTTTCTGAAGGGGTTATATACAGTCAGACTAAGAAGCAAGTTGAGGCAGGGATTTCATTACTGGTTCTTTCAATTCCAGCACTGATTCCAACTTTAACACATCCACAAAATAGTATTTACCCAGCTATTGTGCTAGGCACTAATATTTTCTATTCAATTATGTCAACATATATGGGGCTGCCAAAAATATATACACATTTTTTTTTTTTTGAGTTGGAGTCTCACTCGGTCGCCCAGACTGGAGTGCAGTGGCCACTCCCGGCCACCGCAGCCTCGCCTGCTGGGCTCTGGCGATCCTTCCGCTTCAGCCTTTCGAGTAGCCAGAATTACAGGCATGCGCTACCACGCCCGGCTGATCTTTTGATTTTTATTGTAGAGATGAGGTCTCCCTACCCAGGCGGGTCTCGAACCCGCGGGCTCAGGCAATCCACTCATCTCAGCCTCCCAAAGGCGCGGGATTACAGGCTGAGCCACTGAGCCCGGCTTAATATATACACATTTAAAGAGATGTTATCTGTGCATTACTTTTTGAAATTGAATTAAATTATGGTAGCAACATGTAGTATGATGTTCGCTCACTTGTACTTCCACCATTTTCTTTGACTGTCCTACCTATAGCAAGGTGACGCTAGCATTCATTTGATGAAAGTCGTCTTTTGAGCGAACGTTATATTTAACATGTGTATACATCTTTTTGGCACCCATATATTATTAGAATGCTGGCAAAGTAGTACTTCACTTAATTGATTCCATGACCTACCGATGTGGTCTCCATTCTGGCTGAAAACTAGAATCCCCTGAAAAACTTTTACCTCTCCTGATCGCCTAGGCTGTACTCTAGACCAATCTGAATCTTTGGGGTGGGTTCCAGGTATTAGGGTTTTTTTAAAGCTCCCCAGGTGATTCCGATGTTGGGGAACTCCTGTCTTGATGGGCACTGAGTGAGCCATACTCAGCAGATTCACACTCAGTTTGCACAGCATTGCTGGGGAACAGGCCCACGGTGGGGTACCTTGCAGCTTCCTCTACTGCACCAGGGGTTCTTCATTTGGGGGGCGGATTACATCTCCCAGGAGACATCTGGCAATGTCCAGAAACATCTTTGATGGTCATAGCTTGGAGGAAAGTGCTACTAGCATCTACTGAGCAGAGGCCCAGGATGCTGATAAATATCATCTACAATGCGTGGGATAATCTTCCCCACGTAGCAAATAATTATCCAAAATGTCAACAGTGCAGAGGCTGAGAAATCCTGCCCTACCCTTCAGACTGACCGAATGTTACTCCCACTCAGACATACACTGGGCCCCTAGTTTGAACCACCAAATTGATAGCCCTTTCTATGCAAGAATGAAGGCTGTTTGGTAATTATTAATTACTGAAGAAGAGCACCTTGCCTTTCTGGTTTGCAGAAACGAATCATTCATAAACTGCATGCAAATTCTAGTTACCACTAACTGCATACCTACTGTGTTATCAGGCCCCACGTAGAGCTATCGAGTGTGGAAATGATACCCGGGCACAGTGGCTCACGCCTGTAATTGGAGCACTTTGGGAGGAGGCGGAGGCGAGAGGATGGCCTGAGCCCAGGGGTGGTTCGAGACCAGCCTGGGCAACTTGGTGAGACCTCACCTCTACAATAAACCAAAAAATTAGCCAGGCGTGGTGGCATGTGCTTGAAGTTCCTACTACTTGGGAGGCTGAGGCAGAAGGATCACCTGAGCCAGCAGACTGAGGCTGCCACTGCACTCCAGCCTGGGTGACAGAGTGAGACTCTAACTCAAAAAACAAACAACCCCCCCCCAAAACAACAGCAACAAAAAAGTGTGGGAATGATAATGATCGTTTCCAAATGTCCTGATGCCAGTTATAAGCAAAACTAGTATGGAACGCTTAGCTTTGACCTTGTCTTGACATTGTCTGCATAAGGAAAAACTCATGAGCCGTTTTTCCTGCCAAACAATAACTATGCCCACCTATGTGTGACTCCTCCAAAGTCTAGCTACTCATTAACATTAAGCTGCAAACAATGCTTCGCTGGTTTTCTGACTTCAGCGCTGTAGTAAAATCTTCTTTTCACCTAAAGGCTCATGTACTAAAAAAGGCATTTCTATCAAGTCTGTCACCAAAAACAAAAGCAACAACCCACAACAGTCCAGAGGCCTTTGTTTCCCTCCCAGCACAGTTCTGAATGCTTAGGTCAGAATTCCTGGGTGAGCTGCTTCTGGTTTCTCATTCATGTGTCAGCCATAAACTACAGCAATTGGGTTTTAAGTACCTGATGCACACAGTGTATTTTTTCGGAGTGGAAAGTGGGATAGTTCACACTGGTGCATTCCAGAGGCAAGAAAGAGAACAGCGTGAAGAGAGAGGAAACTGGAACAACTTCGGAATGTATCCTGAAGTCATTCAACAGCGACGCTGAGATGGAGCAGATTTTTCAAGAAGGAACAACCCCTGCTGATCCCTCCACGCACTGCCATCTTCTCCCGGCCAGCAGCAATCAGGCTCATACACTCAGGGCTGAGGAATTTGGAAATGGAGTCAACTGCCACTCCTCAGGCACATTCCAATAAGAAGAAAGCAAAGCTGCCAGGGGCAGTGAGGTGTCCCTGACTGCAGGTCAGTGGAAATTTTCTGCCTCGGCAAGGGGTTAGCCAGAACTCTTCTCCTGACCGCCAGCTCTCCCAGCTCTGACGAAGTGAGAGCAGACAAAGGCCTCCCCCACCCCGGCAAGTTCAGATGTTCTTTCCATCTGATCACCAGGACCTGTGAGGTAGGCTACGATGATCTCCATGGCCAAGAAGAGGAAACCTCGGAGAGGCGAATGGCCTATGTAAGGTCAGAGAATAAGCACCAGGGCCAGACCAGAATATAAGACTTCTGACTCCTGCTCACAGCTGGCCTCTGCTTGAACCCTTCCAGAAGTAAGGCCTCGCTAGCTCCCAAGACAGAAGATTTCTATTTTTTCCATCTATCCGTAAGATTCACCTTTTATCCACTAGTCTGAGCCAGCCCTACCAGACCAAAGAATTCCTTCCCCTTTCTTCCATGAGATAAGACTCCAAATGTTTAAAGATGGCACCTGACCTCATTCTGGTGTTCACTTCATCAGGGCAGCATCTCCAGCTGCGTCTACTCCTCCCCCAGGTACCATGGTTGTCAGAGCTTCACAAGCATAGTCTCTGAAACATGGTGACAGGACAAGATTCAAGGTCTCAAGGTGTGTTCTGACAAATGTACTGGGATGATGCGTTTTATGTGTTCACTTGACTGAGTCACCGGGTGACTGGGTGACCGGATATTCGGTCAAACATTATTCTGGGTATTTTTGTGAGAATGTTTTGGATAGGATTAACTTTTTAATTTTTTGAGTCGAAGCCTCACTCTGTTTCCCAGGCTGGAGTGCAGTGGCATTCTCATGGCCACCGCAGCCTCGAGCTACTGGGCTCAGGAGATCCTTC